AGGAGAAGGAGGTGTTCACCTTGCACCTTTAATATTTTGAATGGGTGAATGAAAAATCAAGAGGGTATTTTTTTTTCAAGCCAGATTTAGGAGATGGGCACCAATGACATGCGTGCAGTTCTGGAATGCTAACTCAGTTAGAGATACCTGCTGGTAACCTGCAGCATTTTCATGACAAACAGACCAGAGTCGTGAGAGGGAAACTCCTGCTACTGTGTGTAAAGGATCTGGTGATGTTTGACCCAAAGAAACAAAGTCTTGGGAAACAGGCTTGTCATAATCTTTAGAACTTTGAATGCACATAATGTGAACACAAGACTTAAGATGCTTTAAAATAACACAGGAATATCATTTAACATAGAGTCCAAATTCAGATTTCTCCAATTGTCCTCATAGTATTCTTTCTAGATTATTTTTCTTTTTTTTCTCCTAAAGATTCAGTGGCAAAGAAATGTCTACCCAGGGAAACCAGTTTCTAGTTAAGTGTACATATATATGATTCAAAAACTGTGACTTGGCAGTTAGGAAAGCTAACGAGATCTCAGGCTATGTTAATGGAGACAGATTGATGAAAATGATCGTCCTGTTCTTTGCTGTCCCGGCTAGACCACAGCTGGAAGCGTGTGTGCGGTTGCAGATGGCTCATTTAGAGCTGTCACTGGTAATCCGGAGTGTGCTCAGAATAAGAGAATCGGGGTGATGTGGGATGCAAAACCCTGCAGTTATACACATGAGGGCTCTGGAGATATGTAGATACGTAGCCTGAGTAAGACAAGCCTTGGGGAACAGTCACAGCCGTGGGCTCTGAATATCGGACTGGCCACTGTTAGGGGTGGAGTCGTGTCTCCACGAAAAGATATGATGAAGTCCTGACCTCCGGTAGCTCAGCATATGACCTTCTTTGGAAATGGGGGTCATTGCAGATGTCATTAGTTAAAAATGAAATCATACTGGAGTAGGGTGGGTCTCTAATTCAATACGGCTGGTGTCCTTATAAGAAGAGGCCAAGTGCAAGCAGAGACGACGGGGGAAGCCGGGGGATGACGGGGGCTGGCGTTGGTGTTAGGCAGCTGCCAGCCAAGGAACACCAGAGATTGCTGGCAAGCCACCGGAAGCTAGGAAGAAGCAAGGAAGGATTTCCCTAGAGGCTTCAGAGGGCGCCCCCTCCCCTATCCCAGGGCTGAGCGGTGGTGGCCATCACCCTGTTGATCTAGGAGAACACAGCGTCAAGCCACAAAGAATTATCCTTAAGCCTTAAAATTTAATGACATTTTCCCTGCTGAGTTGGAAAAAAAACTTGCTTTAGACCAGTGACCCCCTTTTTCCCTCAATGTCTCCCTTTCAGAATGGGAGCGTCTATCCTGTGCCTGTCCCATCACCGCAGTTTTGGAAGGAGATCACTGGGTCACAGACGGAGAGAAAGTTTGCTGTGGGAAGCAAATACCCCAGGTCCTACCCCTTCTTGACTTGGATGAGATTTAGGGTTTAGAGTTGATGCTGAAATGGGTTAAGGATTTGGGGACCATTGAGATGGACTGAACTGTATTTTGCACAAGGGAAGAATGTGAATTTTTAGGGGACAAAGATCAGACTGTTACAGATTGAATTGTGTCCACCCCTCAAAAAAATGTTAAAGCGCTAATCCCCCTGTGCATCCGAATGTGACCTTATTTGGAAATGAAGTCACTGCAGACAGGATTAGTTAAGATGACTCATACAGGGGTAGAATGGACCCGTAATCTGATATGACTCTTGTCCTTGTGAGAAGATGGTCATGTGAAGACAGATTCTCAGGAGAGTGCCCTGTGATGATGCAGGCAGAGGTGGCAGTTACACAGCTTCACCCCAGGGATGGCAAGGCTGCCAGCAAACTTCCAGAAACCACGAGAGAGGCAAGGAAGGGTTTCTCTGCAGGTTTCAGAGGGAGCTCAGCCCTGCTGTCACCTTGACTTTGGACCTCTAGCCTCCAGAACTGGGGGACAATAAGTTGATGCTGATTTAAAACATCAGTGTCTAATACGCTGTTGAAGCAGCGCTGGGAACTAAGACAGGTACGATGTAGGGGAGAAAAATAGATAAGGTTTATTTCCTGGATTCCAGGAAAGAATAAAGAACCCGCGGATGGCACTGAAAGGGAAACAATTCCAGCTCAACATGAACGAGAACGTGCTAGTAGTCAAAGTCACCGCAAAATGAAATCAAGGGCTTAAGCAAGTCGTGAATTCCCTACTAGCAAAAATGTTCAACTGAAAGGAATCAGGAATGTTGCAGAGGCGACTCGCGCTTCAGACAACAGGTTAGACTGAACGATCTCCGACTCCAGGAGTCCGTGAGCCACGTTCACTTCCCGCCAGAGAGGCGCCGGCAGGTGCCTTTCACCGTCTGCTTCAGCAGCAGATGACAGGTGCCACAGGACCACGTGCATGGTGGGCGAGACTAAATCTAAACTCTGCTCCTCCTAGCCTTGTGCCCTTAGCTAGGTTCCACAGCCTCCCTGGCCTAGTTTCCCACTGTTAAACAGGGATGTTAATAGTAATCACTTTAGAATGTTATGATGAGGATTAAACTAGTTACTAATTTATATTGTTTAGAAAAGGACGAGGCACATGGGAGATGCTGTAGAACTGTTGGTTGAAGATCTGCTTGCTTTGCTATTGGTTAGACATTCTTGCCATCCCGCACCTCCAAAATATGGACAACTGGGAGTCACACCAGAGCTGCCACTGTATTTTTCAAGTCTCCTTTTCTAGTTCCAAGATTGCACCATTTGGACCACTAATTGGCCAAGTATCAGAAGTGTACTTTTGTCAATTTCCTATAACAAGTCAACCGCTAAGATGGGTTTGTGAGAGTGTGTGTGTGTGTGTGTGTGTTCCAGTTATTTCTGAAAAATAAATGATTTGGCAGCAGCATTTCCCATCCATAAAGACTGTCATTTACGCTAATAAAAACTCCCGTGAGTTTTTGATGCCTGTGTGCTGGAGTCAAGGAAGATGAGACGTTTTCAAAATTAAATCCTCAGAATTTCAGGTACTTCATTAAGTTCGTGTCTGCTGGGTAATTTCAGCTTCAGGAGCTAGTGACAGCATTTATTCAACATGAGAAATTCATAATACCTGGTACACAACTGTCAAAAAGAAATCCTCATTTGGTGACTGCAATGTAACTAAACATGCTTTTATTTCTTTGCTATATAAGGTTACTAATTACAGCATCCTTTGGGTGCACAGGGGACAGCAGTGACAGGATAATGAAGTCCCAGGTAAATCCACGTTACTTTCAATGAAGCAAACCCATCAATAGATGTAAGCAGCAGTGTTTACACCTGTATAATTCTGGAACCAGGGACCGTGTAACCTTTGGGTACATCAGACAGAGGGGAGATGGAGAATCAGGGAACTAGACGTTCTTTCTGCAAAAACCCAGGTAAGCGAGGGGGCAGCTGAGTGGGGATATACTGAGAGACGTCGAGGAAGGCTTGGCTGTGGAAGTGTTGCAAAATATATTTGATCTCAGGTGACTTTCAGAGACGCTGAGTAATAGAACGGAGAGGGGACTGAGTTTCTAGAATTTGCATGTGCTTTCTTTATAAGTAGTCCATTTTCACAAAAGAAGGTGATCGCTACGGCGGGAAGACCAGCTCTTCCCTTGGCGTGTAAGCCCAGCTGTGAGGATGCTTCTGTGCGTTACGAGCCATCTGTCCTTAGACGAGTTCCATAAATTGCCTGTGCCTTAATGACCTCATACATAAAACACCGGTAATGATGTCTCCCCTTCGGATCGGCATCGAGATGAAATGACCTAAGGATACAAACCATGCACCTACCATGGCAATAATAGGGACTAAATAATTGTCAACTGTTGTCTTTAAGCCTCTTCATCCTTGAAAAGTCCCCAAAGGCAGAATTTGGGAGCAGATGTGGGTCAATGTCATGGGTAAGTCCAATGCTGCAGCTCATTGAAAGATAGTGAGCCCCTAATTCTTCTCAATTCCGTAACTATTTCTTGAGTATCTGTTACATGCTGACCACTGAGGGAGTAGAAAGATAAATCAAAGAATGCTCTCTAACTTCTGGAAAACAAAATTCAAAATTAAGTAAAAATACATACAGCCTTATGATCCACTGAGAAACGCCTTTGCAAGGTAAATGAATTGATTTTTTTTTTTGCAGGTACTAACTACTATATATAAAACAGATAAACAATAAGTTTCTACTGTACAGCACAGTGAACTATATTCAATATCTTGTAGTAACGTATAATGAAAAAGAATATGAAAAGGAATCTCTGAAACATGATGCTGTGCACCAGAAATTGACACAACATTGCAAACTGACTCTACTTCAATTAAAAAAAAAACTGAATGAATGGATTATATATTCAGCATTAACCCAGATCGACCAATTCAGTGAAAACACAGCACAGCCTTAAATTACCTCCCCTTTGCAATATTTATTTGCGGACTTGTGGGGGTGCTAATTAGCTTGACAGTGTTTCCTCACCAGCACGTATTCTCTTGGTTTAGTTGCTGTCTTAGCCTGCCCAGCCCGCTGTAACGGAACAGTGTAAACTGGGGGGCTTATAAACAAGAGACGTTTGTTTCTCACAGTTCTGGAGGCTGAGAAGCCCAAAATCAAGGCTCAGGCAGATTCAGCGTCTGGTGAGAGCCACTTCCTGGTTCACAATGGCAGCTTTTTCTTCGCTGTACCCTCCCAGTGTGGAAGAGGCAAAAGATCTCTCCGGAGTTCCTTTTGCAAGAACATAATGCCACTCACGAGGGCTCCACCCTCACGACCAAATCATCTCCCAGAGACCCACCTCTTTATACCATCACCCTGAGGGGTCAGGATTTTAACACATGAATTTCCGGGGCACACAAGCGTTCCGTACATGACAGCTGCCCTTCCTTTCTCCTTTCCTGATCAGTCTGTGTGGCCGTGTGGAAGAACCACCACATGAGGACGGTGACCAACTACTTCATTGTCAACCTTTCCCTGGCGGACGTGCTCGTGACCATCACCTGCCTTCCAGCCACGCTGGTTGTGGACATCACTGAGACCTGGTTCTTCGGACAGTCCCTCTGTAAGGTGATTCCTTACTTACAGGTAATTAATTGCCTTTTACCCTTTTTCGTTGAAACCCCCCACAAAGTCTAGCCATGTTCAATTACAGTCATGGCCCATTGGTAAATTACCTCGTGAACTAAGAGAGAAATATACTTGCCCAAGGAATTGGCAAACCTAAGGAAAGTAATACTAGAGACTTTCTGGGTGAACCAGTTACGTTTCGGGTTAAAAAAAAAAGCATCAGAATTCGCAAGTCATCAACAGAGGCTACACAAACCTTTTACTTCCTTGATTATGAGATTTTCTGATTACAAAATAAGGAACTTGAACAAATTAATGATCAAGCCTTTCCCAGTTCAAATAATTGAGGACTGTCCGTTTTTATAATGGGTCTGATTAAATATTGAGAAATCAAGAGCTGTGTGGTCAAAGCGGTACAGTGAACAGGTGGGAGTCTAGGTTCTGAATCAAACTACCAAGTCTGGCATCTCTGTCCTGCTGTTCGATTGTATATGCTTGAGCCAAATACATAAGCTCTTTGCGATTCGCTTATTTTAAAAGATCAATCGTTTTAACTGTAGCTGTCTCCTGTGGTGGTTGTGCTAGTCTATGCAGATAAGTTTTATAAGCCATTTGGCATAGGGATTACTCTCTGGAGACTGTGACCTTATCAAAACATAGTACGTCCTCAATAAACATCAGCCATCATCACATCATTATGTTTCATTATTCAGTTCTCAAAGCCATTTTTTGATAACTAGTTACCCTACAAGAAATTAAGGACAAATCCTTTCAGAGAGTAATGTTCTGACTGGTATTCTGATAGCTCTGAAATCTTTGGGAAAAAAATTCCCAGGCTAGCATCCATAGCCACAGTACCAAAAGACAAGAATTTCCTTCAGTGACTGGACAGTGAGTGAAATGGTGGCCACTCTGTACTGGTGTCCCCATAACCATCCTCCACCCATCAAGTTCTTATTCCATACAGTCTCCCAGATGGTATCATAATATTTGGAGGAAATGAAAATATGCTCCCAATTACTAGGGTAGGTGAAATGTGGGATCTAGACACAGACCTTACACGTTTCAGAAAAACTGACTCAAAATGGATCACAGACCCAAATATGAAATGCAAAACTATTAAACTCCTAAAGCATAACATAGGCGAAAACCTGGATGACCTCGGGTATTTTGATGACTTTTTAGATGTGACATCGAAGGTATGATGCTTGAAATAAATCAGTGACAAGCTGACTTTATTACAGTCAAATACTCTGCAGTTAAATTCTCTGCAAAAGTCAGTGTAAAGAGAATGAGAAGACAAGGCACAGGCTGGGAGAAAATATTTGCAAAAGACACATCTGATAAAGGACTTAACTAAAATATACAAAGAGCTGTTAAAGTTAACCAATATGTAACAACTGAGTTACAACATGGGCTGAAGACTTTGACAGACACCTCACCAAAGAAGATATACAGGTGGCAGAGAAGCATATGAAAGACTTTCCTCATCATATGTCACCAGCAAAATGCAAATGAAAACCATGAGATAGCACTACACACCTATTAGAATGGCCCAATTCCAGAACACTGGCAACACCAAAATTTGGCTGAGATGTGGAGCAACAGGAACTCTCATTCATTGCTGGTGGGAGTGCAAAATGATACAGCCACTTTGAAAGACATTTTTTTAATTAACAAAATGAAACATGGTCCTACCATATGAGCCAGCAGTTGCACTGCTTGATATTTATCCCCAAAATTTCAAAATTTATGTCCACAAAAAACTTGCATGCAAATGTTTATAGCAGCTTTATTCATAATTACCAAAACTAGGAAGGTACCAAGATGTCCTTCAGCAGATGAATGGATAAACTGGGATAAAACCAGACAATACAAAGAAATGAGCTATCAACCCATGAAAAGACATGGAGGAACATAAAACTTATTACTAAGTGAAGGAAGCCAATCTGAGAGGGCTACATACTACCTAATTCCAATAATATGACATTCTGAAAAGAGACAAAGCTATGAAATTATAAAGATGTGAGTGATTGCCAGGGGTTGGAAGGAATGAACAGGCAGAGCAGGGAGGGTTTTTAAGGCAGTATAATGTCTGACAGTATAATGCTGGATACATGTCCAAACTCAGAATGTACAACACCAAGAGTGAACTGTAATATAAACTATGAACTTTGGGTGATTATAATGTGTCGATGTAGGTTCTTCAGTTGTAACGAAAGTCCCACTCTGATGGGGCATATTGATCATGGGGGAGGTTATGTGGGAGCAAGGATATTGGCAAATCTCTGTACCTTCTCTGCAATTTTGCTGTGATCTTAATACTCCAAAAAAGTAAATTCTTAACCAAACAAAAGTCGAGGGACACCACAAATAGCTCATTCCTAGAAATTCTATTAGTTAGGCTTTTGAATCTGAAGTGTTACGAAGAGATCTTTAGCTCAATAGTTCTTCAATGATCTATTATAAAGAAAAGTAGTAATTTTTTAGGTCCGACATCACTGATAGACTAGTAAGTGGAAAATGCCATGGGTGTTGTAAGTTGCATTGTGAGCACTAAGCTTAACTATAAGGTTAGTTTGTGTCAGTTGGCTGAAAGCCATGAGTAGGTCACAAAAATAAACTATAGCAAAAAATTTTTGGAGAGAAATAGAACCTGAGCAACAAAGAAAAATCAATAAGCAATGGGTCTTATAGTCTTTGCATGGAGACACTGGGTAAATCATACATAGCAGAGAATTCTAATATTTCACCATCTCTGGTGCTTCCAGCAAGCTTTTTTTACTTCTCTTGGTTTCAGTCACCATCCAGGAGGAAGTCTGGGGGATCCTCTTAAGTTTCAAGATGGCTTAAGTTGCCCCAAATCTTCAGTAGGCTAAGAGAGAATATTTCATGTTCTCTCTACAAACCACAAGATTCCCTAATGGGGAGTGGGGTTTGGGGGAAGGGGTGTATCACCTTGCTCTAATGCACAGTGATAGCTTTTTATAGACCAGGTAGATTCTAGATTCTCCCAGGTATGGTTGAGGACAGATTAAAAGCTGTATGTAACCAGCAAGCAACGTAGGTCATAAATTTTTCTTAATGTTCATTGTTGGCAGTATTCGTTTGAGCAGCACAACTTAACAAGTCTTACAGTTGAATGAACAGCTTCAGCTCTTGGTAGATTCCACCTGCTTCTCTATAAACAGTGTCTAGTCTAGTCAACCTCTCCATGGATTCTCTTCTCCACAGGTCAAGGACAAAATTATTGATAAGTACAGGATCTGACTCAGAGGGAAAAGGCTAGACCCATTCATGACCTCATTCAACATTACTTCTTGATGGAAAGTTGTAAATGCACAAAAACATTGGTGCGCTGGTAAACTGGTTTCTCCAAGTTCTCTCGATGTTTATGGTCCATTTTCCATAGAATTTCCCCAAATAGAACAAATTGTGCCAACGTGCAATAAGCCAATCATTTAAATTTGAGTTGTTTTTTCCCTTCGTTGTGATATTCTGAAACCAGTGGTCCCTGATATGACACTTATGTCCTACTGAGGATTTAAAAACATACTACAGGGTGCCCAGCCGAATTTGTATGGTTCTTTGGTTGTGTTTAAGATTCTTTGGGCATTTACTAATTTTCTATTATTTATGTGTTCTTTTTCTTCTACATATAATTCAATACAACCTTTAGATTTATGAGTGATATACTATAAGCTGTCAGCAAATTCTCACAAAATCCTAAAAATCTCACAAATATAATAAAACTTAGCTGAATAATTTAAATGACCCTCTTATAGCTTTAATAACTCGATAGGTCCAAAACCACTAACATTGATTGGGCTATTTGCTAAATAATTATCATGAATTTCTGGAAAAATGCAAAATATTTCACTTTCCTTCTCACACTTAGAGGAGCAGTTGGCTGCTTTCTCAGAGTGACTTTTTTTGTAACTGCAGAAGAGGCTCTGCACAGGAAATGCCAAGAAAAGAAGCACAAAAATCAGCTGAGATGTGGGTGGTGGTGTTGGATGGTGGGAAAGCATCCCTCATTCACTTGGTCACCCTTTCCCACCTTTCAGACTATCAGCGCCTGTCATCCAGACCTGAGAGTTGGCAAAATTTCCATTTCTTGTGGATCTCTGAGTCCTTTTTTGATATCTGCATGCTAGCATAAAACTAGTTCCTTCTCTACCAAAGAATGTTTCCAACACGGCCCCGACCACAGGGCATTCGTAGTACCAGTGAAAAATGAAGCACTAACAGCAGAAGAAAATTCACTTCATGTCATTTCACCTCACTCACAATGTTCATAATTTGCACCACGTTCATTTCTCAAGTGATCTACCATCAGGTTGATTTGAGCAAATATCAAAATCTGAGAAAGGCACCTGGAAGTGCACTCCTGGAAGGGGAAAGGGGCAACAAAACCCTCACTTATAATCACTTATGATAACGTGCAGTTTGACATCCCCCTTCAAGAAAATCGTGGAAACTGGGTGCTAATTGTCCGCTGGAGTATATTATACACTAGCAAATAGAGTAGCAAACAGTGACTCTTAAATCCCTGATTGCCAAGGGTTCATTCAATGGATTCTGCCGTTAGATTAACCAAACCAGTATACTGTCTCGAGCTGCCCCGCAGCAGAGAAGGCACCGCACCTTGGTCACTGTTGGCTCTGGACACTGGATGGCAGTCTTTCAAGCACACTGTTCTGAACTGATTATTCGTACCTAACAGTAGAGGGAAATGCTAGAAATGACTTCTGAATTTGAACCACGCTACCTCTATCCCATTCACCCACGTTGATTAGAATTCATGACACATAAATCAGGAAGCCTTGAGGAGCAGTTTACATCGCTAATTGCAACAGAGGCTAAATGTAGCTCTGGCCCAGAAGCTATGAAAGGTCACCTGTGCAGCTCAGGGCCGCCACGCCTCTGTTCCCTGGTTGGCAACAGTACGGAAGGGCCCGGGGTGCTTGACACTTTCTCAGGGAAGGACTAGGGGTGGGAGGAGAAGGGGGCTGTTGAAGGAGCTGTCAATGTACTCTAAGCCAGCACCAAGGAATTCTCAGCAGCCAGCAACCAATCTAAGCCTGCTGTGGTAGAGTTCACCCCTTTAAGATAACACAAAAATGAAATTAACCTCCAAGAACTGAGCATAGTTCATAGCTTTACTTGTAATTCCTATGACTGTTCTTCACGGAAAAGCAGTCTGTTCCAATTAAAAGCTAGAACTCCACGCTCGGGATTGGCAGAGGTAACTAACCATGCAATCACCGTTATCACTGCTGTCATCATAATAAGTAATAACAAACACTCACACGGCATGCATGGCTCAGCCCTGGGCTAGGCATCTCACATCTCCAGTGACTCTTCCTACCAGTCCACGGTCAGCTACTGTTACCATGCAATTTTAGAGATGAGAAAACTGAGGTGGAGAGACATTTAGCAACTGCCCCAAGACCACACATTTAGCAAGTGACATGGGGTGCATACTCAGGAGTCCTGGTAGCAGAGCAGAGCCCAACCACACCCTGCTGCCTTCCCTGAAAAGAAGCAAAAAAAAAAAATCAGAGTTGGTGAGAATCCTATCCTGTGCATTTCACTCATTTAATTCACCCACCATTGTGCACTGAGCTGGTGGGAGAGTGAGGACAGATGGTTCTCCCTGATGCTCAGCCCAAGCCTTTTCTCCTGTGCTGGACTGGCTTTGATCCTTCTCACTCATCCACACCTACAGTCAATGCCTCAGCAAGGATGGTCCTGATGTAAGAAGCGGAGATACCTGCCCATCCACATATTATGTGATCAATATAACTAGGACAGAAAAATAGAGAAAGATGACGAGGCCACATCTATTATCTTAGACTGAGGCTTACAACTAATCCTTAATTCAAAAAAAAATGTTAAGCACATCAAATACTGCATCAGGTACTGGAGATGATTGTGAACAAAACAGTCCCTCTTGTCTTCAATCTTTGTTCCAATCAAGATGCTAAACAATAAATAAATTAATTAAACCAAATTAATGGTCCTATGTGATAAGTTTTGAGAAAAAAATAAATAGAAATCTGTATTTTTTAAAAACAGAAAAGAGAATGAGGGTTCTTTATAAAGAGAGGATTTTGAGAGCGACATTAAAGCCAATGATCCCATCACCCAGTACAGAATATACGCTAAAGTTAACAGTTAATTACATAACTGTAATTAACTATCAGTTAGTTACATAAACTGATCATGTGGGAACAGGCATGTCTGATATGTTTCTTTACCATTTTCTTAAAGTACTGTTTTCGGTGCTGTTAGTTATACAGAAATCTGGATTAGGTAAACATTTGAATTTTAGAGGCCAGTTGGTTTATACCAGCAAGGCAAGCTATGGGAAGGAGAGCCACATGGAGAATTATTCGTTGCCATGGCTCGTGTCTTTCTCTGGGGGCAACAGGTTGGAAATGAACTGATGTAAAAATAGCACTTGTTATTTAAAAACAGGAAATGAGATACTCATAATTCAAAAATGCTCATGAAATGCAATGGCAGTCAGATTCTTGCATGATCATTTAAAAGAAAGACAAGTTATCATATTATTTTCTTTAAGGGAGAGAGAATTTTCCAGTTCATACTAAATGTATATATTTTATTTTATTTTTTCATAGACTTCCCCTATCAATGGAAAAAGTTTCAAGACAAAATGATGATTGTAATTATTTAAAGAATGCCAAGTTACCAGTTAAAACACTTGGCATAAAAAAAGATTTCAATACTTTTAGAGTACATTTTTATGTTTATTGGGAAATATATATTCCTTTTCCTAATACATTTCTAATATTTTTGGCAGGGTATTTTTTTAAATAGAAAGAACCTGCAGGAGATATACTTTTTTAAGTTTTAAATTAAAGTAGTCAGTTACAATGTGCCAATTTCTGGTGTACAGCACCATGACCCAGTCATGCATATACATACTTCTATTCATTTTCCTATTCTTTTTCATTAAAGGTTATTACAAGATATTGAATATAGTTCCTTGTGCTCTATAGAAGAAATTTGGGAGTTTGAGATTTGCAAATATTAGCCACTATTTATAAAACA